AGGGCGGCCGAGCACGGCCGGTAACTCTGCACCAGGTGCCGCAGGTCGGAACCCGCCAGGCCGCTCCACGAGTAGGGCTTAAAAGGCAGGGGAAAGGGCTGGGCTTCGTCCAGAGACTGACACAGGGACTTCTCCGAGGCTGCGGGAGCACAAGAAGGTTTCCGGTCAGGTTTAAGACTACCGGGGATGGAGGACGCTGAGCGCGTGCAGGACTCGAAGCTCGCAGGTGCCGCGCCAGTGACTGCGACGTCCTGCGGTAAAACGCAGTCCGGATCATGGGGCTTAGGTGGCCGGTGGCAGGGAAGCAAACTGATCTTAAGAATGACACCGGGTGAGAAGATAGGTAAATAGTTTGAGGGCAGCGGAAGTGCCTGGCCTTAGAAGAATCTTTTCTGGCAGGACCCCCAGGGTCCTCTGGGGAAAAGCGCGTCCATAAAGGTTTCGAGGTAAGAGATGGGGAAAGCGGGGCCCTTTGGTCCTGCACAGCGCTTAGTGGACAGAGAATCCAGCCACCAGGGCCAGCACTCTCCTAGACCCTACAGCCCCCACATCCTTTGTCTCCTTAGAATCAATGATAAAGTAAGGAAAGGACCAATAAAACAGGCCCCAGAACTACCGTGGACATACTTGTCTGAAAAAACCCGGAAGGTGTTGGGATTGCTCAGTTGTGAAGAGCACAGAGCTGGGAGCAAAGGAGCAGCAGGAAAGGGGCGTCCAGCCTCATTCCTGTTACAGCTTGATGGGGGAGGGATGAATTTCCCAGAGAATAATTTTACAATTAATAAGGTTTAGTCACCACCTTCAGGATAGCTTTAGGATCCCACCAATGCGAAGTTTGCTAAAACTAGAAGCCCAACGATTCCGAGTGCATATGCAGTTATAAATCTGTCCACATGGACGCGTCTGCACACTCCTGTCCGGGCTGCAATGAGAGGCTGCACCTCCCTTGGAGGGTCCAGGGGGCACCCACCCAAGCGGTTCCCTGCACAGCCGAGAAGAGCGCTGGCTACCAGACCCGCTGGCCGAAGCTACGGTTCTGCTCAAGTCAGTCACTCACTGAGTGTGGCGTGGGGGTTATCTTTTAAAACTAATAAATGTAATATGGAATTAACTGGCCTTCAGAATTGGGCAGATGTGCGCCTTCCTTACACCAGAGTCTCTCCCCAACCCCACTGCAGCCACTTGGTTTGCAGGAAACTCAATTGCTCTCTGTAAATGAAACCCAGCGGGCTGGTCCCCAAAGCTAGGCCATCTTGGCAGAACGAAAAATGAAACGAGCCCCCAGTCTGAGCCTGAGACCACAGCGCAACAGGCTGTTTGCTCAGGGACCCCTCCCTCTCGCCTGGCATTCAGTGCTCTCTGCCAGGTTGGGTCTCGGCCGTTTGTTTGAGGTTCAGGTTTAGATTCTGAGATCTTAGTCTGATTGGAAAACGAAACATCAGTTTTTGTTTTGGGGTTTTTTGGGGGAGTGGGTTGAGACCCTTGGTTTGTTTTCTCTCACGGGCCAGCTCCACGCACACTAACGTCCCCACGGCCCCGCAGCCTAGGACGGAGATGGCGGACTCGCAGCCCAGCCAGTCTAGCCCAGGGGCAGCCGGATGCTTCCCTGCTGGGCCGCATCACCCACAAAAAAGCCCGCCCTCCTGGCAAACCTGTCCGCCATCCTCTTAGCATATCTGCTCCCAAGATCTCACCAGTTCCCTCTGCCCCCTGGAACCTCCCCGTGGTCCCTACCTGGAGAAGCAGAGGGCGAAGGAGGCCTCCAGAAGTCCTCGAACTCGGAGCTGGGGTCGCAGACGCTACCCTCGCAGCTGTCCGGGGACGCGGAGGCTCCGTCCGGAACCTCGGTCAGCTCACACTCAGGGGACAAACGGTCTCGGGGCTCCGCTTTCGGCTCGCCAGCACTGGAACTGCTGTCTGGGGAGAGGAGTCAGGAGAGGAGCAAGGCTGAGCTGGGTTGAGCCTGGGGGCCCTGAAGTTCCCCCAACCTATTGTGGCACCCGAGCGTCCTCCCCCGTTCTCTCGGATCTCACTAGAAGCCCTCCCACATCAGAGGACCGGCGCAAGAAGGTCCCGGCGCCTAGACGACAGGCTCGGAAAGAGCCAGGACAGTAGGAAACAAGATAGCCAAGGGGGCGCCGGGTGCCTCTCTCGGTCCCTGAGCGTGAGGTGGCCGGGTGCGGAGTCGTAGTCCCGCGGGGCAGCCCCGTTAGGCCCGCGCGAGCCTAGCACCTGCTCGGCCGGGCGCCGGTGCGTTCTCTAAACGCAGGGAGTAGTCTGGCCCCGGGGACCGCGGCTGATGGTAGCTGTGAGCCTTCTTGCTCTTGACGAGGAAAGAGCGCGGCATGGTGGCCCGCCGCCTTCCCCACTCTGCTCCAAAGTTGTCTGAGAGCCGCTTTCCCCCCGAGGTCACTGGGAGCGCTTGTTCAGCCTGGCAGAAATCTGAGAGAAGGGGAGAAGAGGGGAAACGCGGGTCAGAGCCCAGAGGGCCAGGACTGGGCACTAGGCTCAGGGCAGCGAAGACGGCCGGGGAGGAGGGGCTTGTCCCCGGCGCCGCGCTCACCAGGTGGCACTCGGACAGGTGGAGCGAGCGGTCTACCGCGGCACTGCAGCAGCTCGGAGGTAAAACCTGTCGCGGGGCCGGATCCGGGCTCTTTCCTCAACTGCCCACGCCCCGGCCCCTCCCCTTCCCAGTAAAGCTCTCAGACGCAAACTCCGGGTCTACCTCCGCTCGCCCGCTCAGTCTGTCTGGCTTTGGGGCCAGGGCCGAGGGCCAGGTGGCGCGGATCGTCTTAGGGGCCGAGGACCCGGGAGGGGCAAGGAGCCAAGCAGTCCAAGAGCCGCTACCAACTGGAGAAAGAGGGGT